TGCTGAGCGTGCTTTCTTTTTCATTCAATGCTTCTGTATTTTGGCTTAGTAAATATTAACATGGTGTAATATGTCGCATATTTTTGTTCACGCAAAATTGTATTTACCTAATTTTAAAACCCGCTAAGGACCAGATATTTTTTTATTATGTCCTGATATGTAAACCCTTGGATCTAGTTTATTTTTAGCATCACTGTATCCTGTGCGGTGTTTTATTAAATCATGCAATGATGACTAATGCAATCATTTTAAATGATTAGACACTATTATAAGTCTGCTATATGATTTCAAGGACTCTACTGTTTTACGGCATGCTCTATTTTAATAATAGCGCCATATTTGCATGTTTTCCTTCCCTCCCTGTCCCACATATTGGTAACAAAAAGCGTGTACACCCAATAATAACACTCAGTTCTCATAAAATGGTCTGTGTGATTTTGCACTGTTACCATGTGGTTTGCGCAACAGTGAAGTCCTGTTGCTGTTTTACATTGCCTGTTTAATGCAAGCTTAGCTGACAACACCCATTGTCCCATTTTCCCTAACAGCCCTGTTTCGTCAGAATGAGCCAAATCACAGGATCTGTTTTCTTCTAATTTCCCGGCTCTGAAAATTAGAGTCAGGAAAATTAGAGTGAGAAAAGCAAAAAAATGGGGGGAAAATGCTTTAGAAATCTAAGTCATCACCATCTTTCTCTCACTCTCTCCCTTCCTTTCCATCTTTTCCCACATCTCTGTATTTTTTGTCCTCCCTTCATCTCTCATCACCCCCCCTCCCCCGTTGCCAGCTGGGAGTGTTTTACATGACAGCTAAACTGTCAGTGTGGTACGCATGTTGGGGTGGTAAACAGCATCTGGCAGTTGCTGATAAATGTAACTCCTTTCTGATGATTCATGTGATGGCTTACATGGAAAGATGACCTATAAAGAGGAAAAAAGAAGTGGAAATCCTTTAGACGGGATCGAAGAAGGAAGATGAAAATAGCGACACTATCGGTTTCATAAAGCTCAGTTGTTAGTTCTAACATGTAACTCTTCCAGGGAGCTTATTCAGTTCTGTTTTACAGAAATGGGACAAGGAATTGCATACGCAATAATGACGAAAGACAAACCTGACCTTCTGTACGTTTCCTCGCCCACAACTCAAAGTCTTTCATCTTTTTCTAAATCTTCAATCCATCTTTTCCTGCAGGTTCTCTGTTTTCCTGAAATAAATGTGCCAGCTTCACAGTTGTTGCTCCCACTGCTACAATTATAGCCGCCCAGACAGAGACTATCAGGAATAGAGACCGGCAGACGTGCTGACATGTGCAGTAAAGCGGTCACTCTGGAGGTCTGCAGGGAGAAGAGTCAGGGTTTTTCCTTTGACCTTGACCTGTCCTACTTCTGCTGTTTAGCCACAACACCTGTTGATCAGAGACCTGAACATGCAGCTGGTTTTACTAAGAATGCAATAATGCTATTTCACAAGCATATAATGAAATCCAGACCATTCAGTGTTGCAACTTTTCCACGTTAAGAGGTCTGATGGTTGTGCAAACTGTACATGGGGACTCAGTCTATCCATAAAAAAGGTACGTTTTACTAAAAAACACAGAGAAGCAAGTTTCTAGGAATGCCTTCTTCCACTTGCTCAAGGTCCCTGGGGGGGGGTTAACTCATTTAACTGGTGAGGCACTGAAAAAGGTTAGTCTCTGTGGAGCCTTGTTGGCTAAAATGACCTGTTCTACAGCCCAGCTGCTGTTGTAGACATGTTGTATATGCTTATCTGGACAGTTGTTATTGTGAGATTAAAATTTAATACATATGTTTATGTATTCATTGTTAATAGGATGTCCTTATAGGTCCCTGATGAGCTCCAAAATGCTGCAATGTTGGAATACTGACCGATCGCAAAGAGATCATGTTTGTCCAGTAGTAGTGTCTCTTCACCAGCTGCCTGAAAATCAAAATAGAATTTGCAATTTGTGGTCTTACATACAAAACTCTTATTGGCAAAACTCTGTATTTCAGAGACATCATAGTACATTACCCTGATCTATGAACCTGTTAAAGCACCAAGGGCAATAAGGGAGGCAGAATCCTCTTCAGTGAAATCGGTTTTCAATCTGTGTTCAGAAGATAGCTATTGGAGGTAATTTAAGATTAAAACTTTAGGCTTATCTTAGTTGACCCTGAATTCCCCCTTAGTCGTGCTGCTATAGATGTTCAGGCATCTGGATACCTGCGCTGAGCACCTTCCCTCTGCTCTGCTTTGCATTTATGTCTCACTACTGCACACTTTCATCTCTATGCTTTCTCTCTGATTGTACCTGATATTTACCATGCTGTGTTTACTACATTTAAGCCATTTAAATTTTGTTTTGCTAGTTTAGAAATATTTACAGTGGGGCAAAAAAGTATTTAGTCAGCCACCGATTGTGCAAGTTCCCCCACCTAAAATGATGACAGAGGTCAGTAATTTGCACCAGAGGTACACTTCAACTGTGAGAGACAGAATGTGAAAAAAAAATCCATGAATTCACATGGTAAGATTTGTAAAGAATTTATTCGTAAATCAGGGTGGAAAATAAGTATTTGGTCACCTCAAACAAGGAAAATCTCAGGCTCTCACAGACCTGTAACGTCTTCTGTAAGAAGCTTTTCTGTCCCCCACTCGTTACCTGTATGAATGGCACCTGTTTGAACTCATCATCTGTATAAAAGACACCTGTCCACAGCCTCAAACAGTCAGACTCCAAACTCCGCCATGGCCAAGACCAAAGAGCTTTCGAAGGACACCAGGAAAAGTATTGTAGACCTGCACCAGACTGGGAAGAGTGAATCTACAATAGGCAAGCAGCTTGGTGTGAAAAAATCAACTGTGGGAGCAATCATCAGAAAATGGAAGACATACAAGACCACTGATAATCTCCCTCGATCTGGGGCTCCACGCAAGATCTCATCCCGTGGGGTCAAAATGATCATGAGAACGGTGAGCAAAGATCCCAGAACCACACGGGGGGACCTGGTGAATGACCTGCAGAGAGCTGGGACCAAAGTAACAAAGGTCACCATCAGTAACACACTAAAACGGCAGGGAATCAAATCCCGCAGTGCCAGACGTGTTCCGCTGCTGAAGCCAGTGCATGTCCAGGCCCGTCTGAAGTTTGCCAGAGAGCACATGGATTATACAGCAGAGGATTGGGAGAATGTCATGTGGTCAGATGAAACCAAAGTAGAACTTTTTGGTATAAACTCAACTCGTCGTGTTTGGAGGAAGAAGAATACTGAGTTGCATCCCAAGAACACCATACCTACTGTGAAGCATGGGGGTGGAAACATCATGCTATGGGGCTGTTTTTCTGCCAAGGGGACAGGACGACTGATCCGTGTTAAGGACAGAATGAATGGGGCCATGTATCGTGAGATCTTGAGCCAAAACCTCCTTCCATCAGTGAGAACTTTGAAGATGAAACGAGGCTGGGTCTTCCAACATGACAATGATCCAAAACACACCGCCCGGGCAACAAAGGAGTGGCTCCGTAAGAAGCATTTGAAAGTCCTGGAGTGGCCTAGCAAGTCTCCAGACCTCAACCCCATAGAAAATCTGTGGCGGGAGTTGAAAGTCCGTGTTGCTCGGCGACAGCACCAAAACATCACTGCTCTCGAGAAGATCTGCATGGAGGAATGGGCCAAAATACCAGCTACTGTGTGTGCAAACCTGGTAAAGACCTATAGTAAACATTTGACCTCTGTTATTGCCAACAAAGGTTATGTTACAAAGTATTGAGTTGTATTTTTGTTATTGACCAAATACTTATTTTCCACCCTGATTTACGAATAAATTCTTTACAAATCCTACCATGTGGAGTCATGGATTTTTTTTTCACATTCTGTCTCTCACAGTTGAAGTGTACCTCTGGTGCAAATTACTGACCTCTGTCATCATTTTAGGTGGGGGAACTTGCACAATCGGTGGCTGACTAAATACTTTTTTGCCCCACTGTAAAAATATTATGCATGTAATATTTTTATTTCAATTTATACTTATTTGATTTTATTGTATTTATTTTGACTTCAGATGAGTTTTTCCTTATTAGGTAGTTATTATGTCATATGTACACATATGGCATTCTGCTTCTGCTTAACTTGTTATATTTTTGTTGTAAATATAACAATATGACAGCTGCCTAACTCTGGGAGATATAAAATATATCTTCTGCTGAGGCAGATAATTCACCTCTCTGATTTCTGCTTCATTGTTGTCACTGGGAGTTTGCTCAGTGAGGACCACTGAAGGTCTTTATATAATATGAGCAAAAGTCATGGTGCTACACATATAAAAGTGAATTAAATTAGAAGAGCATACAAATATCTCTTCAAATCAATTTAAATATAGCCGTGATGATGTAATGTCGTTGTTAATGAATAAGAAGTTGAAGGCTATGCATTTATCTGGCAATAATTACACTGAACCTGGACATTTATACACTTAGATATTTTATTATACTACTGGTCTGTTATATAGAAAAAATATATATCAGTAAGATATCTTCTCTATCTATAGATATATCTTATCTATAGATATCAGTAAAGATATCTTCCATATCAGACTTTGATTAAACAAATAATATGATATAATAATAATATAATAAATAATAAACTGAGTTGGGAGACAAATTTTAAAATGACACAACATCTGCCAAATGGCGTAATTGGAGTTATGTTAAATGTCAAAGCTACTGCAACAGTGTAAACGTGTCATTACATCAGCAGACTGACTCAGAGTCTAGAGATGGCTTAACTTTAACAAGCGCACATAGCCTGTCCATCTCCATCGTGCATGCTTTTTGTCAGCCCCTGTGAATTATGACATATTACCTCCGCTGGAGCATTACTCACTCATTCAACAGAACCAGCTCTGCCCCACCCCTCCCCAGCTTGGTCCCCCCTCCTTCCTTCTCTCAGGGTTTATAACCCAGCAGCTCCAATAGTTGGCTAACTCAGAGGTGCTCTACATATAGTGAAGTAGGTGACTAAGTAAAGACAGAGCAGCTGGAGTGTGCAGGAGCAGGAAAACTTGCTGATAGAGGATTCTGATGTTTTCAGATATATGCGCTGCAACCCAACAAATCTTAAGAAAAAACATGCATAAGAACTCCATCATGCATGTGTTTTGGATCTGCCTGGTGCTGTGTACGGGTCCATTGTTGTGTATAAATGACATCGAGTATGAAAGAATCTATGAAGACAGCTATGACAATGAGATCCCCCTGGACCAGCAGGAGGGTGAGTTTTATTTCTTTCTCTTTTTTTTCTCTTTTCTGCTCCCTGCTTGTTTGAACAGATAGATATTGTGATGAATTTCTCTTCAGTTTTACTACGCTTTACTAAACCGAGCTAATTAAAATTTTTACTGTTTAATTAAATTTTTAATAACACACTGATTTAGATATGTCTAAAGGTCAGCAGTTGTGTTTATTAAATTTGGTCTAGAGTATTTCTTGGTCCAGTTTACTATAATGCACCATATTTAAATATTTGATGTTGTAAAGTATATTTTTACTCAGATGATACCATCTTTGGCTTTCACAGTTTTATCAGGTGAGCATCAGACTTAATGAAACAGACTTACCAATAACTGGAACACATACCTCATACCGTGAACACAGAGCACAGGCAATAAGCAACCTCTGTGATTTGAGTCCACGTAAAGAATGCAAACTGGTAGCCTCAAATACCTACAGAAGGTGGACATTTCACAGTTTAAGCCCCCTCTGATGTTTGTCAGGTCCCTTTCGCATCGGTTTTCTTCGAGCGTCCAATCTCAAAGACTTCGTTGCTGTACCCCTAAATTAATGAGGTCCCCTGATGTCATTTTGGGATTGTAGCACGTGTATTTTATGTGTTCTTCATGACCTTTACATCTGTGTTGAATAACTCCCCAAAGCCATTTTCATACTTCACAGTGTGTCCAAACTTAAACTGGCATCATATCTGTGAAATACATCCAACTCTAATTACTGCTGTATGTTTAGCAGAAGCTCAGTTTTAACACCTTCTTGCCTTCTTTCCGTGTACTCGTTTCACTGATAAAGTCCAGTCAAATTATGACAATAAAGTAAATCTCCTTTTTTGGGGTTATATATGGCATGTGTTAATTCTATGTAATGCTTAAATTGCCTTTTGGAATGAATAATCGATGCATCTATGTGGTTGTGTGCAGGTGAGTCTCCAACTGCAGCATGCCAAACAGATTTCTCCCGCTGGGATAAACTTTTTATCGCTCTAGAGGACTCCAACATGAGACAAAACATGCTGCTGGAATCTGTGGAGCAGTGCTGCGGGGGAACGGCGTCTCTTAAGACCCAACTGGAGAAGCTGACGAAGGGGATGTGTCAGCAGTGTGCACCCAGCTTGGAAGCAGCTTGCAGGGTACATGCAGAGCAGGCAAGTCTTAGGCTGCAAAAGAGTTTGGTGGATCTCAGGGATGAGGAGGAAGAGAGGGAAAGAAGATTAAATGCAACCTTGCGGATGCTCCTACATGGTAGGCACCAGGACGATGCTTGGCTGAAGAGGCTAGAAGAAATCATTTCATCTGCATCTGCTGACAGCAGCATGAGAGACCAGCCAACACCAACACCTGACGGTTTGGGAATGAAGCTCTTCACATCTGGCCTGAAGGAGCAGGAAGTGACCTCGCCGGTGAACATAGTCACCATGGAAAGTGCTCTGGCTGCCATAGCAACAGAGCTTCAGAGGATTCATAAGCAGCTGAACAAAGTGATAGAGCAGGTAGGCACGCTGGGAAAGGGCAGAGGAGACACATGAATTGCCCAAAGGAAAAATAAATAGTAAAAGCTTGACTGGAAAACTCCTATTGCAGATGATGATTTTGCACATGTTGTTTGTATTTCTACCGCTCTGCCTTTTTATAAAGCCTCTGTTACACATGAGATCGTTTTTGTCTGGTGACAATGAGTTTCAATGTACCATAAATGTCATGGGTTTGCTATAATGAATAAAAATTAACTAAACAACTGAGTCAGCCTCGTGGAAAGGTTTCCTCCCTCCTCCCACACAGTGTCACTTAATTTTAAACTGTGTATTTATGTTCACGTCCATGCCCACTCTTTCATTAGTCTAGGTTACTACATGTGCTTTATCTACAAGTGCCAAAGTTTGCACCACTTGCCTTGGTGTTTGTGTAGTTGTGGTGTGGTCTGCAAATCCCCAAACCCACAAGAAGGTGTGTCAGTGATTTGGGATTTTTATTTAATTCATAGCAGGTCTCTCCCACTCATTAACTGCTTTAAAAGTGTCTGAATAGAAAGAGGCCACGACTTACGATGCTCGGAGTGTTTATGATTTGTGAAACCCTGCCAGAAGTATTACACTGCCACCAGTGCCTCCTACAGCTTCATACACACACGTGAATGCGTGCTCATTATTAAAAACCACAAAGACTGACTGTTGTTATGGCTAAAGGGAGTTTCTGTATACTTTACAGTGTCTGTGTATCCGTTTTTGGTCTTAAATACTATTTTCATTCATTTTTTTAATGTACTTGCACTTCTGTTTGGATGTTTTGTTAAGATGAAAGAGGAAATTAGGCAAAAGGTACATCAGTGCAAATTAAAGTCATACTAACCAAATACGTTTTATTGTTAGCTAAATTTATATTTAATTTATAGTCGGTGTGGTTCAAAAGCACTCCTAGGTGATAACAGCAGCATTTAAATTTGTAGGTGATCATTGAGCTTGAAATCCACCATCCATCGATGGATCAGTAGTAGGGCAAAACTAACTTGTTTCACAGTCCTCTTAATATGATATTTGTATATAAAATCACAGTCAGTCAAGTAAAAATTAAAGCTAGCAAATAAATTTAGCAGAACATGAAGCACTTTGTTTTTCTATGGTATTTACTAGTGTAGAATTAAAAGGCAGAAGAAGAATGTAAACATACGTTAAGTTTGTCCTTTACACAGTGCTTACTCACACTAAAGCACTGAGCAAAGTGCAGCAACAGAGTATTTTAATGAGGCCAACACACTGACATCACAGAAACATTTCACTAGTGAAACACTCATGAATGTCTTCAGATGCCTACTCCCGTTCCCAAGTGTTTGTGGGCATGAAAGCTTCTTTTTAAATCTACAGCTGCTTCGAGAACTAAATGCAGGATTAGACTGTTTTTGGGGGGCGTTTCCTTGGATACAACTAACAAGATGGAGAGGAGTGTAGAAGTTATATCTCCTATCAATTCTTTTACACCTGTTTCACAGCGGTACCTGGCATACGCACAGAGACACGCTGGTCTGTTCAGTGTGGAGGCACCTGTTTTAATTAAAAGTCTCCATCTGTGCGATGTGTGATGGGGGAGTTTGGTGAATGGAAGTTATATCGAGAGAAAAAGAGCAACAAAGAGGAAAGCAGGAGGTTAATGATGAGGAAAATAGACGAGGAACGACACAGAAATGTAGTGATGGTGCTTATGTGTCATGCAGATCGTTATTAGACATAATAACCGTTCCCCAACACACGAAACAGTGTTTTTATCAGCCAGCTGGCCAGACACGCCACAATAACCAACCACCATCAGCCCTGCTTGCTACCCTGACATCCTCTTATTCTGCTGCTTCCCTTTCATCTCTGCTTTGTCATCGGCCATCACCCCTCCACCGCCCACCCACCCGCTCCTTATCTGTATGCCAATCCCATCATCTTCTCTCCCTCTGTCCCCATTTGTTTTCCTCTGATTGTGTGTCTTGCCCCTCTCCCGAGCCTCCAATCTTCCAGGGTTTTTTTCTGTTCTTTTCTCTAAGTCTTGCTGGCAGCCAAGAGGCAAATAGATGGCAGCAGTCCTTGGCCGAATCTCAGTTGGCAGCAAAAAGTGACTGACATCACATTGATTGTTAAATGTACTCAGTACACACACACACACGTGGGGTGGGGGGAAAAGAGGGTGATAGTGATTACAAGTGGCTACAGAAATGTGCTGTGTTCATCAGAGATTTTAATATCACATCACTTGGTCACTGTAACAGACAACACCATGTTGGCACTTTTCCAAAAGCAAAGAGGATGATACCAAAAAAAGCTTCAATAAACACTTAGAAGTCTCTCGTGTACACTGGAAACAATCTCATGAAGGAGCAAGTGAACGATAAGAGTGACAGTGCTGCAAGGTGAGAGGAGGTGTCTATTTGATGGGAGAGTCCAGAATCTCCTCATACTCCTCCCTCTGCCGACGCCCACCAACTCGAGAGGGGAGCAGCTTCATTGCTACCAGCCAACCGACACTCAGGATGACCATCACGCTCCCCACGACCTCTGGTGCAGTGGGAGCCAGTGGCAGTACAGCCAGATGCAGGAGCATGGCGATGGGTATCTCCAAGCTCTGAGAGGCGGAAACCAGAGCCGGGTGGAGTCGGGTGAGAGCGTGCGTCATTCCCAGGAAGGCTACGACCGAGCAGGCTGCGAGGCCCAAGACCAATAACCAGGCTTCAACACTCATTGGCCAGGACCAGCCCTCTTGTAGCAGGGCCAGAGAGGCTGGGGCAAGTAAGCAGCCTGTCCAGCTTACTGTGAACAAAGCAGTCCCAACTCCCACCCTCTCCTTCAGGGAACGATACCCAACCAACGCTAGTGCCATCCACAGCCCTGCAAGCGCTGAAAGAGACCATCCAAATGCACCCCTCCAGAACACAGCCGGATCAGTTGGCGAATCTGAATTGGTCTCATCTACTGCAGGAAGTAACACAAGCCCCAAGCCACACAGCCCTGCAGCTATGGTGATCCCATCAGCCAATCCCAGCCTCTCTTCTAAGAGCAGGAAGGCAAGGGTCGCTGATAGTGCTGTGGTCGCCAGACGCCAGGTTGTTGTAGCATTTCCAGGAGAGACGAATGTTAAGGAAGAGTAGGCGCAACAAAGGGAGAGGGAGTAGGCGATGCCGTAACAGAGTAGACGTAGTCGATAGCCCTCTGGCCCAAAAGGGTTCTCCCCCCTGTGCAGTGGTACAGCCAGAGACAGGAGCTGTACGATGGACCGAACCAAGAGTAGAAACAGGGGGCCGAGGCTGAAGCGTTCGGAGGCCACTCGAGTCAGAACAATCAAGCTGCCATGTGCCAGCGCCGCACCGAGCAGGCCCACCCAGGTGAGTCGAGATGCAGACACAGAAGCCTCACCGAAACTGGCTAGCTGTTCCCCAACCCCTTTCCCAGACCCCTTTGCTGCTTTGGCACTACCCTCACTCCCTTCTCCTCCCCCCACGGTTTGAAGTTTGTGGGCTGTATCTTTGTCGTTGTGTCTTGAGCCAAAAAGAGTCAGGGGCCACTTCCTGCTCTCTGTTAGTTGTTTCTTATCTGACGTCTCCTCCACGAATGAGCCAAAGTCCTCAAAAGACGGAGCATCATCATAGCCATCATCCCCAGGTTGGGGAAAGTGTGTGTGTACTCCTGGCTGGGGGGCATAGGGTGTGTGGGTGGCATATTTGGCTGTAACAGTGTGAGGGTGGATCTTTACTCTCTTCTTAGAGCCACCCAAGAGGTGAGTGGACTCCATTTTGAAACTTTAGAGAAGACACCTGTAAGGAAAAACAAAACACTTTTAGCTCAGCACATAATATATAATTCACACGTGCACAAATCCTCTCTCCTCTTTCCCCTCTCACAACATCCCGCTGTGAGATTCTGCTTGATATCTCATATATCTTTAATATCCGAGATAATAATAGCAGTGACTCACATCTTCCCGTGTGCCTGCGTGTTTGGCAGGGAATGTACGTAAGCTCTACCCATGTGACCAATCATGACTTTATTGTTTTCTGTGTGGTGATACTTTGAATTATATAGAACAATTATGTCCTTGCAGCACTTCTACATCCTCATGGATAGCTCGACCTTCGTGGGGGCTCAGAGAGTGTTATGGCAATGACAGTTACATAAGCAAGTGCTTCCTGCCTCATTTGTCTTCAGTCTTTCTCTCTCTAATGACTTTTGCCTCATTCTGTCGCTTCCCATTGTCCTCCCTCACTCACTCTCGTTTGTCAATTTGTGAAAAATATTACGCTGGCATTTAAATAATGTTTGTTTATTTCCTTGTTCATAACATCATTTAACCACCCGCTTCGCCACCTTTTTATTTCTCCCTCTCTCTTTAACTCTCTCTCCAGGCTACACATATTTTTTTAGGGCTTTTTGGCATTTATTGTGTTAGGACAGTGGAGAGAAGACAGGACTGAGAAAAGAAAACAGGGGGCAGACATGCAGTAAATGCCCTCGGGGTGGATTTGAACCCAGGCCTGCCTGAGCGTTATGGTAAGCTCCACAGCCTCTTAAGTGTTGTGATTACTGTGGAACAATATTGCTATGCAAGTGCAAAAGCATAGAGAGCATATGGCTCAGTTATTTCCCAAGAGATATGAGGCAATTGTCCCCAAGTAAGTTTACAGTAGTAAAATGACTCTTTATTTTGGTGTATTTTATGAATAAAGCATCAGACAAGTATTACTAAGTATTACTGTACCCGCTCATTCAGCCTCAACCAGCTCATCTAACAAAAATGACTTGTGAGCACTGTTGACACAGACTGTAGGAGAATCACATTTCACAAATGACATTTTCCCTGCAAATTGCACATAAAATTGAAGTTGGCGCACGATTCACAGGTTTCTACAGCATCTGATTGCTTGGATGTGAAATATTATCAAAACTCTGATTTAAACAGTTGTTTGTTTTGTTATTTTTTATGGCAAAAAATAAGCAGTTTCTTTTAAAGAAATGAACTATATATGGACATATATATATATGATTATTTTTTCTTCATTATGTTAAATGTCATTTTATATCACTATATTACAATAATGATGTGTCGGAATGAAACAAAAAAGGCCATTTATTGATAAATTAACTTAAGATAATTGTGTTTGGTTTTTGGTTATTCTGGTAATTTCTCCCAAATCAAGCCGATTTTAACCCTCTGACTCTGGCACCAAACAGTCCTGCAGCAGATGACATAATTCACCAGGAGATGTCAAGAGGAAAACTACCATCGGGTAAACCACATGACAAAAGAACATCTCTTCAGACCAACACAAACTACATTTCTGCATGACAAACGTCCTGAGCTCAGACTAT